ATTATAGGGGTTGAATATACTATCATGATATAACATTTATACTAAGTTTTCCTATAATAATTAGATCCACATCAAGTGCTTTTATGACTTATCATGGTGCAATATTTATACATCATTTCATATAATTATAATTAAGCAAGTAATACTTATCATCAGGTAAAATGGATATGAATATACCACTGGTGATGTTACAGGGGTTGAATATACCAGTGGTGTACTGAGCAGTGATGTACATGGGGTGATGTTACACGGTGGAATGTTTCTGAGGTGATATTATAGGGGATGAATATACCAGTGGTGATGTTACAGGGGTTGAATATACCAGTGGTGTACTGAGCAGTGATTCACTTTGGGTGATGTTACACTGTGGAATGTTTCTGAGGTGATATTATAGGGGATGATATACCAGTGGTGATGTTACAGGGGTTGAATATACCAGTGGTGTACTGAGCAGTGATTCACTTCGGGTGATGTTACACAGTGGAATGTTTCTGGGGTGATATTATAGGGGTTGAATATACCAGTGGTGATGTTACAGGGGTTGAATATACCAGTGGTGTACTGAGAAGTGATGTACTTGGGGTAATGTTACACGGTGGAATGTTCCTGGGGTGATATTACAGGGGTGGAATGTACCAGATGTGATGTAACAGGGGGTGAATGTACCAGATGTGATGTTACAGGGGTTGAATGTACTAGATGTGGTGTTACAGGGGATGAATGTAGTAGTGGTAATGTAAGGGGTTGAATTTACCAGATGTGATGTTACAGGGGTTGAATGTACCAGATGTGATGTTACAAGGTTTGAATGTACCAGATGTGATGTAACAGGGGGTGAATGTACTAGATGTGATGTTACAGGGGTTGCATGTACTAGATGTGATGTTACAGGGGTTGAATGTACTAGATGTGGTGTTACAGGGGTTGAATGTACCAGATGTGATGTTACAGGGGATGAATGTACCAGATGTGATATTACAGGGGATGAATGTACCAGATTTTATGTTACAGGGGTTGAATGTACCAGATGTGATATTACAGGGGATGAATGTACCAGATGTGATGTTACAGGTGTTGAATGTACTAGATGTGGTGTTACAGGGGGTGAATGTACCAGATGTGATGTAACAGGGGATGAATTTACCAGATGTGATGTTACAGGGGTTGAATGTACCAGATGTGATGTTACAAGGTTTGAATTTACTAGATGTGGTGTTACAGGGGTTGAATGTACTAGATGTGATGTTACAGGGGTTGAATGTACCAGATGTGATATTACAGGGGATGAATGTACTAGATGTGATGTTACAGGTGTTGAATGTACCAGATGTGATGTTACAGGGGTTGAATGTACCAGATCTGATGTTACAAGGTTTGAATTTACTAGATGTGGTGTTACATGGGTTTCATCCTGAAGAATCCAATCATGCAGTACCTGCACATATACTTAAGTTAAAAGTGATGATTATTAAGTTCTGAACCTCACGTTGAAGGACTTGACTGAACCTCACATAGAAAGGACTTGACTGAACCTCACATAGAAGGACTTGACTGAACCTCACGTAGAAGGACTTGACTGAACCTCACATAGAAGGACTTGACTGAACCTCAAGTAGAAGGACTTGACTGAACCTCACGTAGAAGGACTTGACTGAACCTCACATAGAAGGACTTGACTGAACCTCACATAGAAGGACTTGACTGAACCTCACGTAGAGGGACTTGACTGAACCTCACATAGAAGGACTTGACTGAACCTCAAGTAGAAGGACTTGACTGAACCTCACATAGAAGGACTTGACTGAACCTCACATAGAAGGACTTGACTGAACCTCACGTAGAAGGACTTGACTGAACCTCACATAGAAGGACTTGACTGAACCTCAAGTAGAAGGACTTGACTGAACCTCACGTAGAAGGATTTGACTGAACCTCACGTAGAAGGACTTGACTGAACCTCACATAGAAGGACTTGACTGAACCTCAAGTAGAAGGACTTGACTGAACCTCACATAGAAGGACTTGACTGAACCTCAAGTAGAAGGACTTGACTGAACCTCACATAGAAGGACTTGACTGAACCTCACATAGAAGGACTTGACTGAACCTCACATAGAAGGACTTGATGGAACCTCACGTAGAAGGACTTGATGGAACCTCACATAGAAGGACTTGAAGGAACCTCACATAGAAGGACTTGAAGGAACCTCACATAGAAGGACTTGACTGAACCTCACATAGAAGGACTTGACTGAACCTCACATAGAAGGACTTGACTGAACCTCACATAGAAGGACTTGACTGAACCTCACATAGAAAGGACTTGGCTGAACCTCACATAGAAGGACTTGACTGAACCTCACATAGAAGGACTCAACTGAATCGCACATAGAAGGACTTGACTGAACTATATCTCCTTTCACATTGATACATTTTTGCCGATGAGGTGGGAGGTATTTTATCCTCGTTCCATAGATGTGCTTCTCTGGGTGGTCCAAGAAGGTTTCCCTGCTGCTATGACATGGGTTCTGGCTAGAGCTTTCTTCATGTTTACCAACAGATGGAAGAGTGATTGAGCCAGATCAAGAGTTCAAAGCCCCACTATCGGGGATTGTAGCCATAACAATGAATGATTTGTGCAGTGGCAGAGCACACCTGATGCAAGAGCATACCTTTTCTCAGCTTCATACATTTCATTAAGGGTAAAAAAATTAAAGAATTGGTTTTCAGGCAAAGGCTTTTGAAAATATAGTGGGGGCGGGCAACCATTATTTTTGTTTTTATTTTTTTAGTTCAAACAGGTATGTAACCAAATAAACAGTTGTGAACAATCAACCTGGAAAGGGACCTCCCTACATAAATGTATTCCTTGATCTGTAAAATATTGGAATACAATATTTGACAATCCTTGGACTACCAGTATGTGCATAATTCTTGCATACAACACCTGAAGAAGCATGTCAACATATCCGTACTGAAGTACTCCTATTATTACAATATTCTGGTTAGAAAAGTGTTCATTGTGTATCTGGGCTTAAGTTGTTATCAATTATATTGCTTTTCTCCAAGATTTCATTCAGTTTTGTTCACATAATTTGCATATGATCTGATCGGCAAATCACATTAACTCACTGTGAACTTGCCTTGAAACAAACATTAGTTGTTAGAGATACAAAGTCTTTGGTCTTCCTATCAATTTTCTTTTCAGTTATAATATTGGCCATGACATGAAGTGTTTTTAAACTAAATCACCAATAGATCAGGGAAAAAATGTGTAAACAGCTGATCGCTATTTCCTGCTTATTTTATGAGACGAATACACATGTAATCTTATTCTCTGCATATGAATCATTGTCTGCCATACTGTACACAAATACCATTGAACTTGTAAATCATCATATCTAGTGATGTTTTATAAAAAAATTCATGTTTTCATTGACCAAATTTGCAAATGTCAAAACAAGCACACAACAATTGCCGCCATGACCATAACATATAACACGAGATACGAAGTACATCAGTACGCATGTAAAAGGAAGTAACTGCACGCTATATTGGATCGTGTTGTTTTTCAGTATTGTAGCATTTCATTGCCAGGGTCGTGTGTTCAAGACACCAAATATTTAAGGATTTTTTTTTTTAAATGGAAATAAAAACAAAACATGAGGTGGACTGAGGTGGACTGTGTGATGAAACTGCAGTGCCTGAGAACCAAGAATTATTATTTTTTAAGCCTAACCTTAATTTCATCCCATTATTGCATGAAAGTGGAGCATAATATGTTCCGTTTATTGTATGGCCTTTTGGAAGATAGTCCTCCATCATGACACCTTTAGCATCCCAGAGCACAGAGGCCATTATCTATCCAGCTGAAGGGACAGTCTTTACTTTCTTTGGCTGGGATGCCAAATGCATCCACTGTTTTGATCGTTGTTTGGATTCAAGTGGTGAACCTAGGGTTTTTTTCCATTTCACAAATCGTTGCAAGAACCTTTTTTGAATCAGCTTCAAACAGAGATGGATTATCACAAGACATGTTGTGTCTGGTGCATATTTAATCAGATGTCAGAAGCTTTGGAACCAAACATGTTCATACTTTCTTCATTGCCAAAAGTTTCTGTGATAATGGAACGTACTCACACCTAGGAAATGCCAACTGAAATTGCAATATTAAGCTCAGTCATTCACCGGTCAGTCATCACCATATTGTGGATTCTCAGGATCAGTTTCAAGGGCCAGCCATGCTTAACCCTGCTGCCCACCCCTTGACAGTGGCATAGGAAGGGGCCACCTTCCGTAGTGCTGTACTCAATTTGTATCTATTGCTTTTAGTGTTAAGCCCTTTTTCTGCAAGTACTTGATCACTGCATGTCCCCAAGCTGATCTAGTCTCCAAGGTCACAGACCCCGGCTTATTTTACTGACTTGTCACACTGAAACAGTGTGCTAAAGTGACTCTAGTTTTTAGTGGATATACCTCCATGACATGTAATGTCCACAACAAAAGATATCAGAATTACACAATTGTCTTCTATGTGAGGCACAGAACTTATCAATCAACCCTTGTAAGTATTCTTAACATAATTGTACTTAAGATAGTTTGGGGTCTCTGCATACAGAAAAATGAGTTGTGATTAGCCCCTTTCATCCTCACACCATAAGGCCAGCTGGTTCAGCTGTGATTCATCAGGTACAAATAGCTGTGTTGGGTACAAGGGAGAGATACCATGCCTAAAGCAGCTGATAAAAAGAATGGGGAGGTGTGGGCTGCATTTAGAACTCAACACACTCGATGTCTATCAGTATACTAAATATTAACAAATATGCAAATCTATCTTTCACTCTAGCTCCCTGGTATCCCTGTGCCATAGCAATGTTTTACTGTTTGGTTTGTCTGAACACGATCTGATCCTGTTTAATTGTAGTGATGATTATTTTACGTATGCTATGAATGACCATGTAGTCCTTTCACACAAGATGATTTTGTTTCTGTTTTTACAGAGGAGGACAGTGTCAGCAAGTTTTCTGGGGTGCTGTGGAAGTTGATGTGTTCCTACATCGTCCTTGGATTCATTGGATTCCTGCTGATCGTCATTCTTCTGGACAGGATCGGGGCACGCATTGACACAGAGTCTTCAGGATACCAGGTACATCTAAGGGACACTTAAGATTCCATGTGAGCACACAGGGGATCTCCAAACATATACAATGTATGGGTAATTCATGAATTTAAGATGTGTTCTTCACAGGCTTCTTTACAGGTATTGACTGACTACAGGACATTGTGCCGTGATAGTGAATGTCAATGCTCATGCTTTCTGTCACTGGTGTGACAGCTGTGATATTCCTGATTGTTTCCAAACACAACACTGATGTTTTGTGTGTTCTGGGCATCTGATATTGGGATGAGTAGCCGCAATTTCTACCTTTTCATGTTTGATTCTTATTTTCTAAAAAAGATATAATGCATGACCTTAACTTCAACTCAAATAAGCAGATCATGTTATCAGTGTGTTATGAACTGTCGTTATTTGGACCTGTCTGATTCTGCTGTGTATTGGAAGGTGGTGCTCATCTTTGTAAGGCTTAACGTGGGAAGCACACACACAAAAACAGTCCACTTTGTTTTCTATACAGAGTAATAAGGCTTAGGTTAGGGCAGAGTTAGGGCAATTCATTGAAGTGTAATGGGGGCCTGGGAGTGTGGGAGGCATGGCTGGAGTGCTGTGGGGTCAGACATTATTGTCACTGATGTTGTTTGTGAGGAGGACAAGGAGAATTGCACAGCCCCAATAATGCAGACTGGCAATGAAACAGACATCAGTCACAGCTAATACACAAATTGAAGGCACCTTGCTTTTGTCACCATCAAAGCCTACATGGTACTCTGGTTCACCAGGAAAGCTGCAAAGATCCAGGGATTATGTTGTTCCAGGATGAAAACCAGACAACCATCTTAGCTTACACTTACACTTACACCATGTCCCAGGTGTAGAGATGCTGGAGCACTTTAGCCTTGTCTCAGATTGGTTGATTGGATGGGGTACTAACAAACCAAGTGTTTACAAAGAAAGAGTAATAGGTACCACATATGAATGTTTGGTAAGGTTGTGTGTTAATGTCTATATTGGTGTTCAAACTGTTGGTCAATGAGTCCTTATGTACCTAATGTTAAAATTTAGGTGTCCTTAGATGAAGCTGCTAAAACAGAAAACTCAATTACTACACTCAGAGACCAGTGAAGATCCGGGGTAGAATAGGTGTTCAACAACTCATGCTTTCTGTAAAAGGCAACTATGCTTGTCATAAGAGGCGACTAACGGGATCGAGTGGTCAGACTTGCTAACTTGGTTGATGCATGTCATCGATCCCAATTGCGTGGATAAATTCTCACGATATCAATCACTGGATTGTCTGGTCCAGACTCGATTGTTTACAGACCGCTGTCATATAGCTGGAAGATTGGTGAATGCGGCGTTAAAAATAAACAATCAAAACTACACTCAGGGGTCAACTGATCTGACACTACACCCAGACAAGTTGAGGGATCCTGTTAGTGTGGGAAACTGACACTACACCCAGACAAGTTGAGGGATCTTGTTAGTGTGGGAAACTGACACTACACCCAGACAAGTTGAGGGATCCTGTTAGTGTAGGAAACTGACACTACACCCAGACAAGTTGAGGGATCTTGTTAGTGTGGGAAACTGACACTACACCCAGACAAGTTGAGGAATCTTGTTAGTGTGGGAAACTGACACTACACCCAGACAAGTTGAGGGATCTTGTTAGTGTGGGAAACTGACACTACACCCAGACAAGTTGAGGAATCTTGTTAGTGTGGGAAACTGACACTACACCCAGACAAGTTGAGGAATCTTGTTAGTGTGGGAAACTGACACTACACCCAGACAAGTTGAGGAATCTTGTTAGTGTGGGAAACTGACACTACACCCAGACAAGTTGAGGGATCCTGTTAGTGTGGGAAACTGACACTACACCCAGACAAGTTGAGGAATCTTGTTAGTGTGGGAAACTGACACTACACCCAGACAAGTTGAGGGATCTTGTTAGTGTGGGAAACTGACACTACACCCAGACAAGTTGAGGAATCTTGTTAGTGTGGGAAACTGACACTACACCCAGACAAGTTGAGGAATCTTGTTAGTGTGAGAAACTGACACTACACCCAGACAAGTTGAGGAATCTTGTTAGTGTGGGAAACTGACACTACACCCAGACAAGTTGAGGGATCCTGTTAGTGTGGGAAACTGACACTACACCCAGACAAGTTGAGGAATCTTGTTAGTGTGGGAAACTGACACTACACCCAGACAAGTTGAGGAATCTTGTTAGTGTGGGAAACTGACACTACACCTAGACATGTTGAGGGATCTTGTTAGTGTGGGAAACTGACACTACACCCAGGCAAGTTGAGGGATCCTGTTAGTGTAGGAAACTGACACTACACCTAGACATGTTGAGGGATCTTGTTGGTTTAGGAAACTGACACTACACCCAGACATGTTCAAGGATCTTGTTGGTGTAGGAAACTGACACTAGGCAAGTTGAAGGATCTTGTTAGTGTAGGAAACTGACACTACACCCAGGCAAGTTGAGGGATCTTGTTGGTTTAGGAAACTGACACTACACCCAGACATGTTCAAGGATCTTGTTGGTGTAGGAAACTGACACTAGGCAAGTAGAGGGATCTTGTTAGTGTAGGAAACTGACACTACACCCAGACAAGTTGCAGCATTGGAAACAAAACTTGCACACTGTAAGAAGACCTTATTAAACTTAACAAATCTATGTGAAACTTTCATTCAAGTTGTGTGAAAAACACCTTTAAAATCCAACTGCATTACAATGTAGTCATTAACTCTCATAAAAAATGAACAGTTCCCATTGGCCATCTGTATTCCTTCAGTTTCCAATCTGGTTACAAAAAAGGCAATGGTTCTGTCAGCTGACTGCACACAAGATCTCATTGTTACATTATGCAAAACGAGTTACCATCCACAGCAAATAGCATATTATTGTTAGTGCTTTTGCAGATGTGTGGCAGATTTGCCTACTGTATATTTCTTGCTTTCCTCTATGTTTCTGATGCCTGGAGTGAATCTGTGCTTGTGTGAGTTAGTGCAGCATTCATGGATATTCACATGTCACACTATGTAGTCTGCAACACACACACACTAGAGACATAGGGCTGTACCATTGACTTCTACAACACAGTTGAAGACCTGTATCAAAAACTGTAGCTCACCTGGATGTGCAGTCAACAGTTTCAAATGTAAACAAAGACAGAGGCTTAATAAAAATTGCTGTCAGCAATTACATAGAAATATTTTCAAAAAATCTAATGATTTGAACAAAGTTGATGGAATCATAAACACAAGTCATAAATGGCAAAGTTCATCTTGCTCAATCTAACAATTTCTGGGGAGAAGAAGTTTTCAGAGCCAGATATGTCTTTTGTTAGAATTTAAGAGCAAGGTCAAAATTTAGAATGTTGCCAAAAACAGAACATGTCTGTTGCATCCACTCAGCTAACTAAACAAATACCAAATTTCATTACATTATTCACAAAAATGGCCACAAATAAATTTTACAATATGAGCCATATTGAAAATTGGGTTCAAACCTTTTGAAGAAATTCCATTGTCATCATTTGTGGAAACTAGCATGTAGAGTTGAGCTTTATGTTTCCATTTGTTTCCAAGGAAAGAAATAAAGTTTGAGAGAATTTAAAAACATGGTCAAAGTGCAAAGGTCTCTTTTTAAATATTGTGAAAAATGAAACATGTTCAGCCCCACTTCTAACTCCACACATAACAAATTTCATTACATTTTGAACAGAAATGGCAAAGTAATTGCTACAGAAATTTCAGCTACCTGTATTAGTATGGTTAGAGTGCAAAGATCAAGTGAAGGTCAAAAATGGGAATATATATGTTGTGCCCCACTACTTACACGCCTTCAGTCTTACATTTCAGAACAGAATGGCTGAGTAATGACCATAAGTGGGGTTTTTAATATGGCATATTGAAAAATGGAGTTGAACCCTTAACAAATTGGGGTGTCATCATTGATGGGAACAAGCATGTGCAGTTTCAGCTTCAATGGTCCAATGGTTACTGAGGAGAAGATGTTGACAAGGGATGACAGATCTGGAACAATGAACACACAGGCCACAATATAAGCTCACTTAACTTTCAGTCAGGTGAGCTAAAGAGGAATGAGTTTGGAATTTTGCTGCTTTGAACTGCACTTCACGTATGTCATGGAGTGACCAATATTCCGGGTGACATTTAGAGTGGCCATGTTCTACTGTTTGATATTCCCTTGTATCTGGGATGACATGGCGGGAGTTTGACCAATATTCCGGGCAACATTTAGAGTGGCCATGTTCTACTGTTTGATATTCCCTTGTATCTGGGATGACATGGCGGGAGTTTGACCAATATTCCGGGCGACATTTAGAGTGGCCATGTTCTACTGTTTGATATTCCCTTGTATCTGGGATGACATGGCGGGAGTTTGACCAATATTCTGAGTGACATTTAGAGTGGCCATGTTCTACTGTTTGATATTCCCTTGTATCTGGGATGACATGGCGGGAGTTTGACCAATATTCTGAGTGACATTTAGAGTGGCCATGTTCTACTGTTTGATATTCCCTTGTATCTGGGATGACATGGCGGGAGTTTGACCAATATTCTGAGTGACATTTAGAGTGGCCATGTTCTACTGTTTGATATTCCCTTGTATCTGGGATGACATGGCGGGAGTTTGACCAATATTCTGAGTGACATTTAGAGTGGCCATGTTCTACTGTTTGATATTCCCTTGTATCTGGGATGACATGGCGGGAGTTTGACCAATATTCTGAGTGACATTTAGAGCGGCCATGTTCTACTGTTTGATATTCCCTTGTATCTGGGATGACATGGCGGGAGTTTGACCAATATTCTGAGTGACATTTAGAGTGGCCATGTTCTACTGTTTGATATTCCCTTGTATCTGGGATGATATGGCGGGAGTTTGACCAATATTCTGAGTGACATTTAGAGTGGCCATGTTCTACTGTTTGATATTCCCTTGTATCTGGGATGACATGGCGGGAGTTTGACCAATATTCTGA